GGACGGCAGCAGGCCTCGGGCTCCTATTCCTACCCGCATCCCTATTGGGGGAAATAGAAACGTCCCCCCTTGCGCGCGCGCGGGGACCACCCCTTGCACGCTCCGGTGGCGAATGCGACCTGTCAGGCAACCCCCGAACCCTCCTGCTCCTGCTGTCGGACCTCTCCCTAACGGGATAGATTGGATGCCTGTCTGCGCGAGAAGGATCGACCCTATCGGGCACATTCGGCAAAACATGATCAGGCAAAACAACGCCTCCGCCTGGTCTCACCGGCAGGCCAGTACCCCGGCCGTCACCTTCCCCTGGTGTAGGCGTCGGTGACCTGATCCTATGTCCTTGCCCCGCAAATGCATGGTAACCAACATTCCGCCTTTCTCTGGGTTGTGGAGGAGCTTCATTAATCTGCTGGACACCCTGAATGATGCCAGCAGCCTCGTCAAATTGACCCTCCATCTCAAAGAGCTGGGACATGATTCTGTTGTTCGCGGCGCTAAGGTTACGCACGTTACCATCGATAGCGCTGACTCTCCGCATAACACCTTCAAGTGTACTCCGGAATGTGCCGAGCTCTCGCCTAACGGCAGGCTGCACTTGGTCACTGCTGGCAGGAAGATTACGGATCTGTCCTTGGATGCCATCAACGACCCGATTCACAACTGCCGATCTCGCTTCATACTGTTCAACATGTGATTTCACGGTTTCAAACCTAGAAATGATGTCGTCATGATCCCGACGTTGACGTTGAATTCCTCGAGCCAGATCCTGCATCTTCCGATTGATCTCGTCAACAGCCTCATGCCAGTCCTGCGGGGAATCATGCCCTGATGGTCTATCGACCTCCTGAGAACCCCTTCCACTCTGCAGTCTAGACACTCGATTAACAAGACGAGTGTGCTCCTCTTTGACCCCCTCAATAGATTCAGAGGCCCACTTGGCAAATGTCTCGTGATCAAGGAGAGCTTTCTCGATCTTCAGGTTTAACTCCCTGAAATTTGCATCGACTACACTGCCGCTGGCCCTATCGGACGGATGCGCGACAGGGTTCGGGTTCCATACACCTGCCGGGGTCCGCATCCCAACGGCTTTCTCTACCGAGAACATCCGTTTCTCAAGCTTGTCCAAATCCTTAAGGGTCTCGTCCTCAGAAGCAGCATGGCTTCTGCGGGCAGCCTCACTATTCTCCTGAATCATCAGGCGAAGCCGATCAGTCGATGCCTCATTGTCCCTGACAGATTCATGGACCTCGTGGGACAGTAGGTTAATCCTCTGCTCCACGACCTCGGCTTGCTCATCGATGGCTTGCCTCACAATGGCCTTGCTATCGGGAATAACTTCCCTTGCGAACCGTTGAACTATCATTCGCATCCTCCCGGCATCAGATTGAGTCGCAACCTCAGCTGCCAGGCGATCGACCTTGTCCTTCGTCCGTTGACTCTCGTCGCTCCATTCCCTTCGCATGGAACTCACCTGACCGTTCAGTACCCTGATTTGGTCAGCAAAGATGTGGAACGCCTTCGCGACTGAGCCAGAAACCTCACCTCTCTCGAGCATCTCCTGGATGTGCAAATCGAACACCTCCTTCGCCCTAGCGTCACCTGATTCGCCGGAAGACTGGGATCTGAGGGCGGGAGGAGTCGATATCTCGATCCTCTCAGGAGCCCCACTAGCCCCGGCATGTCTTCTGGGGTCATCCACGGGACAATCATCAATCCTGGATGGTCTACTCGGGGTAGATCCCCTTCTCCGGCTATCGCCAGATCGAGGATCAATGTTGGATGCACGCGACTCGGGGGTGGAGTGGATGTGAACATCAGCGGGATCGGGCATCTCCTCATCCTGCGGAGTTGAATCCATTGGTGAGGGGCTAGCCCTCCTCGCCTTTGACCTATCGGTCTCAGCGGCGAGAGGTGACGGTCTCTTCGCAGAAACACTACGTTCCCTGGCAGTCGAACCCCATTGAGGTGTGAACTCGTTGCTAGACCTCAGAGTTTCAAGATCACTGGTATCTCGCCCTAACGGGCTAGCGATCGACGGACGATCTTCGATCCCGAGTGCATCGGCAAGCCGACCATCTCTGGCACCTGTCCTAACAACATCGGCAGCCCGCTCAGTGATCCTCGGTGAACCAGTAACCCGGTTCGAGTTCACGTCTCTCTGACTCAACGGACCTCCAAATGTGATGTTGGGAAAGGGGGGAACATTCGGGGAATCACCAATCGCCGGGGGACCTACCGGTCCCTCGCGGTCATGAATGGCCTCCAATCCCCGAAGAACTTCCCGACTGTCCCTGGCTCTCTCTCTCTCGCTTCGGGCATCCCTGTCAACGCGAAGGTCCCTGGCGGCTCCACGAGAGAGGCTCCTGGGCCTCGCAGCATCACGGATCCTAGCATTTCGTCGTGGTTGGTCCTCCTCCTCATCACGGCGATCCGCAAATGCGGCATACTCGTCATCATCATCGACCTCAAACTTGGCAGCGGCGGGACTAGTCCTTGCAGTCTCACGGCTGCCTGCATCTCGGCGCGAATGGCTCTCCTCCTCATCCGCAAAATTGTAATCTTCGCCATCATAAGACTCAGATTTGGCAGTATTAGGGTTGGGCCTACCGGCATCAGATCCCTGCTTTGAGCTACTGCCCCAACCTGCGGTTGATTTCAACAGATCATCGTATCCGAAGTCCGTGAATTTCCGCTCCTCGTGCTCATCAAACTGACCTGGATTTTGAGAACCAGTGGATCGGCCCGGGATACCTCCCGGAGCCAGAACCATAGTCCCTGGTCCCTGCGGCCTATTCTCAAACTCATCCGAGACCTGCGACTCACCTGGAACAAGAGATCTCGGAGGTCGAATCGGCATGGCCTCCGGGTCATCCGAATGAGGGCGGGCCATGTCCATCGCCATGCTGATGAAGTCAAAACGTCCACGCCTGTGACCTGATTCAGAGCCACTCCTACCGGAGTAAACCCTTCGTGTCTGCTCGTCATCAGTGGCCTGGCGGAAAATACGATCGTCTCCATCGTCGGCGTACCTGCCACGGCTCCTGGGTGTATCCCTACCGGGATCTTCACCCCTGCGGTCCTGACCTGTCCTGCTTCGAAATCCTCGTAGTCATAGTCCGGCAGGTCCTCACCTGAGCGGAGGCCACCTAGGATGGCCTCCTCATCCACGACGCTCGTGGGGTCGACATAGAGCTTGTAGTTGATGGTCTCAAGCGCGTAGGAAAGTCCTACGGCTGATAACCTGTGATTCGGGCACGAGCCTGTGCCCAGGCAATGGGTAAGTTGGGGTAAACAAGCCACAAAAGAAAGGTTCCCCAAAAGCAAACCAATCCCCGGTCCCAAAGATCAGGGTTTCCCACACACCAGAGAACAACAACCAAAAGGAAACAAACCAAACAAGAAAAGGGTTAACCCGCAACCTTGGTCGACAACAGGCCGCACGACTGGTCCCTACCAACCTGGCGGCGGCCCGAGGTCTCTTTCTCCCCCGAGATGCCGTCGGTCGACGCAGGGGTTCGGCGACGCCCATTCGAGGCGCGACGGAACCCAAAACTTGAGCCAAAACACCACAGGTCGGTCACTAACGCGACGTTCCTGATGATGATATGAACCATGGCTAATCACACCACGTAAATCCTTTTGCTGTTCTGGCATCTGCAGCGATTCGTTGGTGGCCATGCCTCGAGAAAATCACCAATAAAAGCCAGCCTCTGAGAAATACCCTCTCATTCATTTCCGTTTGGCTTCCTCTTTTTCGGGACCATCCTGGGTCAGATCTTTTCGCGCAGCTCTTTCCCGCGCCTAGTAGCGGCTCGGCCGGGGCAAGTCCTGGCAGATTGGGGCGCAAAGGCAACTGACCTGGCGTGGTATCTACGAAAGACCAGAACATCAGTTTCCAAACCTTAGTTTCATTCATCTTACCAGTGGGGAGGCAATTTTGTAACTAGGAAAGAGCTGTTTGACAAGAAAGGGAATACCCTCAGTCTTCCACTTCGAAAGGTGGAGAAGGAAAACTTCCACCTTCCAATGCAATTTCGCATATATCCAAAAATATTCACTGCAATGGATCCAGTGTTTGTCTTCAAAATCTACCAAACTGATTGTGCATGAGCAAAGCTCCATCTGCAATGCTACAACTCAATTTGGGCACAAAGGCTGTTGATGACTTTAAGGCATCAGCATCTGTATACATAGGTTTGCCATCGATAGCTCTCCCCCTCTCTCTCTCTCTCTCTCTATGTAATCATATATATATATATATTATTACCATGTCCCTCCCGCAATTGTAATTGTCCAAACAAACTGAACATCAATACACCACAATGGGTCGACATTCACATATTCCCATCAGCACATTGTCTTTATACTGACATTGATACTGAATTGTGTCTATCTAAAGTTCATCGTACGTAATTTCGAAGATAGATGTCATCATCAAACATTGGCCCAGAAAGTCAAATCCAAACCATTTGACAGACTGCATTTCCTTAATGCTGACATTTCAGAAAAATGCATAAACTAATTAATCAGTTCACATACGATACAACGATATATTAAGACGAATGCGGTGTCCGTTCACTATGTTGCTTTGTAGTAGTTGATTAGTAATGTGACAACATGTATATATATATATACATGCATATCGCATAATATCATGTATATATATATATGTATATATATATATATATATTCACATACCACTACATTTGCACCTCAAAATAAACATCATAGATATAACATGCGACACTCATTATTTGCCAGCATATAATACCCATTTTCCTATCATACTTGTACATTGGTTTACTCGTAATATCATTGTATATACCCTATTTCTGCTTTTTTGCCGTGCTGCGGGCGAATCATACACAACATGGGGTTCAAGGGGCTGTTTCTTGAACCCGCAAGCTGCCATCAACTGCTGGTACTACTAGTACCGTGCTGGTGTTTCCGGAAGTGGAGGATCCTCAAATGGTTGGCTCCTTTGAAGTTTGTTTAACCAATCCAAACCGATCAACTATTTCCGAACACCTGCTTAAACCTCGAGTTCTGTGCACTCCTATAGCTCTGCAAAGCTCTCTGCGCCACCCATGCCGCGATTCTTGGCGATGGTCGCTGAGACCTCCCTTCGCAACTTGGGCAAGTCGTGCTTGTCTGGCTCGAAAGAGTCGACAAGATAAGCTTGCTGTATACCTGGCACACAATATGAGCAAAATGAGCAAACACAAAAGCACGCTCTAAGGTTTCCAAATAAAGGATCGCAACACACAACGCCGAGCCTTGCTTCGTCAAATAATCAACGATCTCCTGCTTCGTCTGGTCTTCATCGATGCCATTCACATGCAGGTTGTTGCGCAGTGCCTCGCCGACCTTCTGGCGGATAGGGAAGTAAGGCACGCCATGCCCATCAAGCTCCTGCAGATTTTGCAAGTTCAGGTGGCTTGGGGGTGAGTATCACAACTTGGGCTGGAGGTGGTCAAAGTGAGAAGGCCGCTTTCGGCACAAGTGAATGGCTTTGTTTCCATATCATTCAAACTAGATATCATTCAAACTAGACTTTTTTTTTCCTGGCGCATTTGCCTTCATGATTCGCACGTCGATCTCCGTGAAGCGCTCGGCACACACAACCAGCACGACATCAAAGTGCCGCAAGCCCACTGTTTTGGTGTAGCTCTCAAGTGGAAAGGTTGGCGTGCCTGCACCGGGCAAATCCCAGAACCGGGCAGGCAGCCCTGGGAAGTTGTACATAGTTGGTGCCTTGGTTGTCTCGATCACCCCCACAGGTGCCCAACTGGCATCCTGCCGCTTCACTCTCCGCAAGGTGTTGTGCAAATGAGACTTGCCCGTCCCAGACCCACCAGTGATGGCAATGTTTATGTACTCCAAGTAATTGGAAGCAATCAAAAACGCAGGTGCTGGATAGTTTTGAGCCTCTTCTTCACGCCGGCGAAGGTCTTCTTCAAATGCCTTCCGCTCCTCTTCCTTTCTCTCGAGCTCCTGCACCTTGCACTTGAGATCCTTGACGAGATCATTTTGCTGCCGTACCCCTTTCACTTGCTCTCTTAGATCCTGAAGCTCAAGTTTCATCTGGGCCTGGCGTTTGTAATCACTGGAGCGAGGGGCTTGGGGAGCATGTACCACGCTGCTCCCGCCACATCCCTGCAGCGAACACAGCAAACACATGGCGAGTCCCGAAAGTATGGCCATCGCAACACCAGCCATACCGCGAATTCCGAATTCGCGCAAAGGGCGTCACCGATCTGAGCCACGAATGTCAAGTCAACTTCACCACCAAGCGGATGGCTTGAAACCTACGTGGTTGGACATAACGTCCTGCTTGGAAGGACAACACGCCAGAGATTGCAGGAAGGCATCAGTTCTTTCTGACAGTTTGTATGTCCACAGCCTGTCAACGGCTGGTAAATTGTAGCGGTCGCAGTGGGAACCACAGCAAAGGTCAACACAGGAGTTCGGGCTGGTAAATTGTAGCGGTCGCAGTGGGAACCACAGCAAAGGTCAACACAGGAGGCCCTCAAGGATCGATTGTTTGCCCTCAAAAGCCATGCTCAAAGGGTACATGGAGGGAAAGGATTGAAACGGGGCCCAAAGGGCCCAAATCTCACTTCGCCGGACTGTCCTGGCGCTTCGCCGCAAAGCTCCACGGAGCATGCCATCCGTGGCATGATGAGGAACCCTTGATCCACACCACAAATCGGGTGTCCTTGCTTGGTTGGGTTGTGTTCACTCCCCCACAACGGGCTTGAGGGTTGGCTGGGTTTTGATTATCTTGATCATTTTAATTCATTTTGCACTCTGATCATGTGGGTTATTCAACCCTCTGAATACTGAAACTATGGAGCGGCAAGAGCAAAACGTGGCGATGGACAAGGGCGCGCAACCGTGCTGAGAACATGCCCCTGGTAGCTTCTGAAGCAGGGTTCCTATATGTTCCTATCAAGCGGCAACTCCCAAGGGTGCCGCTTTTGTGATATTGAGCCTGACCCGATAATTTGGGCGCCACGAGCTTTGCGAGGGCTCAAAGATTCCTCCACTTCCAGGCGCTTCTCGCGTGTCCTTCTTCAGGGAAAGCCTCTGGCCAGCGTTTCCGTCCATGTCGGCGGCCCGAGCGCTCGGGGGAGCGCTTCCGCCTCCATCGCCATCTCCCTCGACTCCGAGAGGCACCGTCCACGGAGGGCTTTACGGCTGGCGCCACCAGAAGAAGTGATCCGTCGCGAAGTGGACCACCAGCTCCCGGCCGCGCAGGACCTCCTCCACCGCGTCGGTGACGCCATCGTTGATGGGGTTGAAGATGTCATGGCCACTGATGATACCCCCCGGACGGACAAATCTGGACCACGAAACTAGGTCGTTCTTGGTGACGCTGTAGTCGTGGTCGCCATCCACAAATAGGAGATCAACAGACCTTCGCTCACCGAGACATTACGTATTTTATAGATCACAATGTTTGAGCTAGTGCCACAAACCAAAGAACCATAGATTCCGATAATTTGCCCAGTCGGACTCCATGATTCTGTGTCATTTTTCGAACCAGATTTCCGAGAATTGCACCATTCAAGGAAACACCCTGGCCATGAAACGAAGGATCAATATAACAAGCCTGTGCAACCGTCCGCTGTCAGTCAAGGGACCAGGACAGAAGGACGAGTTATAATAAATCCGATCGCTTGCAAAGGAATCATTTACGTGTTGTTTCGCATTCGAAAGGATGCGAAAAGCTGCTGGAGCCGATTCGACGGGTCGGTGCCAAATGAGGGCTGTCAGCCACGAAACATATTTCCTGTTCAATCATGGGGCCCGGTGTCCCTGGTTTGCATAGCTAGAACCCCCCTCCCCCCACCTCCTTCTCGACAAGCAAGCGCAAGGGCGGCGAAGTGATATGATGTTCCCAGGGGTTCAGAATCAAGATAAGCTGCTGCTGAACTATTGACAAATGGATGGCCCAACCAGTTGCCCTGGTGAAACAAGGAGCCCCTGGTTTTTGGTTAACACCGCCTTTGGGCACCAAGCAAAAGTGGGATTTAGAAACACACCCAGGTGCTTGGTTTAAGGTTTTCTTGTTGGGGGGGAACCCTTTTGGGAGTTGGTTTACAGGGACTCCAAAGGAGTCACACCCGTTTTGGGAAGTACCCCATTGTGAGCCAAGCCCGGGTTTCTGCGACTGGGCCGTGGCACTGCAGCGCAATGCCGTGCAAAGCTCCGGAGGTGTCCCAGGCAGAGGCCGACGGCACCCGCAGCAGCCGGGCTCGCGGCCCGAACCGCTGCACCCGATTCGAGGCTTCCTGAAACATGGCGTCTCCTGAGGCACTGATCTCACCCCGGTTTCTGGTCGCTGAAGGGAAGCCCCCCTCTAAAACCAGAACAGCACTGGAGGTCTAGGAGACTCTGCAAAAAAGTACCCTCAATTTGGCGGAAGCAAGATCTAGACTGGAAATAAAAGCTTGACCTTTTGGGACATTGACTAAACGGCTTTGGGCGAGTAGAAGACAGCTGCTTAAACAGTGCATGGAATTGAATATATGTCTAGACGATCATGTTCGGCATACGTCTCCTGAGCCTTTCACGTAATCCTGGTAATCATCAATTCCGGTCCAGTGTAGAGATGGCACCCGATCCAGCAAATACATGGAGGTGCCTGCAGCATGCACGCCGATCTCTATCCTTGCGATCATCCCGCGCCAAAAGGTACCGTTTGGTGGGACATGCCATACATGTCGCGGTTGCGAAATCTGCTCCCCTGCTGAAAGCTTAACTTCTGGTGGTTTGATATGGAAAACCCATTAGTTGGCAAAAAGTTAAAGTCCTAACATCCAAGCAACAGGGTCACTAAAAGCCACATAATACCACTAATACCAAGACACATAATACCAGAGTATTTTGCCACAAATACCACCAAGCGCCAAAACGCTAAAAGTCTCTGTGTCGACCGAGCATCATGGTCACTGTCTCCTGCTTGAACTCCTCCAGGAGCTGATGGAGCACGTGATACCGAAAGCAGCACCGCACGGAGCGGAAGGTGAAGCGCTGTCCTCAGGGAACGGGTCATACTGTGGATGGTTGCGAAATCCATTTCGCACCACCCAAGAAACACTAGAATGATGGTTTCCAACAAACAATACCTACAAACAATACCAAACAACACCAAACAATACAACCCTGGAATGATTTGATTCCCCATGTAATTAAATACCAACAAACAATGGTTTCACCATGGTTTCAAAGTGGTGCAGGATTTCGTCCATCCGCAGTACCTCTTCAAACGGGTCGAAACAGCTATCATCCCTCAGGCTATGGAAGCTCCCACCCTTTGGGAACAAAACCTCCCTTCCTTCCTCCTGGCACCTGGTGACACGGAATCGCCTGAGGATAATTCTTGTTTCAGCAACCATTGGCTTACATGGCTTTCACCCCTGGTTTCAACCCACGTGTTTGTTTGTTGTTTTTTCCCCATGATCCACCCCATAAGCCCGCTACCGTCTGGTTTTTCCGCAGGCCTGGCAGGGGAATCACCTTGGAGCCCGGCACTGGCTGCGGTGACTCCTGCAGTTCCGTCACGTAGATCTGCGCGAAGAAGTGCGCGTTGAGGCGGACGGCGGACTCCAAGACGTGGGAGACCTGGCGAAACTTCCGTGGGAAAACCACCCTTTTAAACCCAAAAGGAGAATTGTTGGTTACTTACAAAAGTGACTTGCCAGGAGTTGGGGGTTGATTTTAGATCTGACCTGCTGACGGTACTAGCCAAAAGCAGTTCGATCTTTTTGGGCCTTAACTAAAGTGACACAAACACCTGCTAAAACAAAAAACAAGTTTGCTTGCTTCCTGAACAAGTAAGAAAGGGTACGCCCCCTTCGATTCAAAATAAAAAAGAAGGACACAAGGCATTGGAGGAACCAGGAGACCAGGCCAATGAGGTGGTAGACCACGTCGAAACAGTCCTTCGAGTCCATAACGCCCTCCACCAACTTTTTCCAATAATCCACCAGCAGTGGGCTGCTCATCCTCTCAGATATGACCTCGGAAATCCATTCACTAGGATATTGGGTGGTGTCAGAAGCAAAAAAAAACAGAAATGGGAATCCATGTGTGACTCGGAGACAAACCAGAAGCAAAGAATCAAATCAACTCTATCCCTTTGATTCTTGACTTGTAGGTCGGTCTCAAAATAGGGAATCGTGATCCAAAGGAAACCCAAAGGACACAAACCAAGAGTGAGCCCCTCATTTCCACAACCACCTCCCTGAGCATCGGAGCAGTTTTCGACCGTTTTTGGTTGAGTCAACGCTGTTGACGGGGGTATCGGTCATGTTAGCAAGCCGGAGAACTGTACTGATCAGGCGTGGTTCCCTTAGTGAGCTATTTGAGGAGGTCCCCCTGAAATGGAGATTGCCCTTCCAACAATCATAGAAGCTGACAGAAGGGGGTTGGGAAATTGCGGACCTCTTGGACAGACCCCACTATTCATTTCCATGCTGAACTGAGGGTACCAAACTGAGCCCGACTGTGGATGGACAAATTCCTACAATTTCCTGCACCAGTTAAGATGGACAAAGCCCTGTTCATACATGAGCCACCAATCTCCACTGGTACCGATCGACCTGGATTTTGCTCATATTTTCGCTTTCACTGGGAAACCAAGGCAGGCAAATCCACCGCTTCAACTGGGCGCCATCTTCCAAAGAGACAACACCAGTCGACGGCTGAGTGACCATACCAGGAGTTCCCATGCCAGGTGCAAAAGCCACGGGAGAATGCGTCAACTCCTGCATGGCCAAGCCCATCTGCTCCTGGGCTAAACGGCCAAGAAAGGACCCCAACACCAACTTGGGGAGGGGTCAAACACCTCTTCGGGTCGTCCGCTTTTTGAGGCTCGCTCGTTGCCCCTTGTCTGGTGGTTTTGAAGGGCAAACCAAAAGGAACACCCACCACTTTTAGGGGGTTCTCCGGGAAAAAAAGAGAGAGAGAGAGACCCAGTTTATGAATCACCTATTCATTCATCGAGTATAGCCAATGGGCAAGTTATGTCCTTCCAGAATAACCTGACTGGGCAGCGAATTCTAATCCCCAAATGCCCAAACAGGTGATGTGCAAATCAGTGCCATTGGATGACACCTGGTTTTGCGTCGAAGCTTTGGCAAGGGCTGTCTTTTTGAAACGCCCCTCATTTCAGGTGGATTCGCTTTGGGCAAGTGAGCTTTCAATGATGTATCCACTTCTTTTCCTTCAGAAAAAACGACACGAGAACTTCTCAAAATGAATCCCTTCCAAAAACTTACCCTTCAACATGAATCCACTTCAAGGGGGCCCACACGCGCCCCCCCCGAAAACGGCCCACACCCAAAGCCATCCGAGTCGCCAAGTGCCTCTCCAGCACCTCCGCCAGCCGTGCCGCCGCCTCCTTGCCCCGGCTGCGGCAGTCCCCGCCGCGGAGATTCGCCAAACCCGTCAACCTCACTTGCGAGGACCTGGACATCATGGGGCTTGGGAGGGGGGTGGGGACAAATAAGCCTTAGGGGGGCGATCACCTTTGGCTTGTTGCTTTGAAACGTGGACCAAGACGGGTAGACAGGACAACGAAAGGTCACAGGTCGGAGTGAGCAACTCCAAGGCCAGGCGGAAGAGGTACCTCGCCTGGACGTACATGCCTTGGCTGGCCATATCGGTTCCTTTGCAGGTCTTGCCTCTTGACTTGGGACTGGGGAATTGAACCAGTTCTTGTGGGCAAACGGAAAGCCTCCAAACCGACTAGTGAGATTTCATGGCGAGAATGCATGCACGCCATAGCCGTGTCTCTGAAGACTCCTTCCTCCCCCGAAACGGCTCGTCAAAACGCATGGCTTGGTCTTGTTTTGTAGGCAAGGGCAAAGGGATTCAGCATGGGAACACCAATCTGTGAACGAAATCTGTGTCCCAAAATTCAAATCAGAACTGATTGGGCACATCACCAGGGGACATCTGTTTAAACAAACAAACACATAACATGCCGCTGCCCTGAAACATGTGTTTGGTAACAAAACTGCATTGGCATACACCCGCAAGGCGACTTAACAAGAGCTCCTGGCAACACATGGTCGTTGCTCATGCAAGCTTCCCGTTGGCCCGTGTTGATCACCAGCCAATGGGCAACCCGCAAACATGATCCGCTAATGCAAGGGCGGGTTTATGATATATACATACATATATATATATATATGAACAAAAAATGCATCCTGGGTTGCCCCGTCTGAGGGGGTTGGAAATACATGAAGGGCGAGGAAATGTATCCCGGGTTGCCCCTTCGGAGGGGCATTGTAACTCAAGCGCATCCCTATGAACCAGGGCATCAACGCTGGTTGCAAGCCAGCGGCCGCCGAAGAGGCTGCGGATCATGTGGAAAAGGGCGATCTTGCGGTTCGCCTCGTGGGGAAAATTGGCTTGACGAGTAGTTCGACACCGTTTGCAGAGTAAAAATGGTTGAAACATGTTGAACAGGGATCCTTACATAAAAAAAAAAGACCCTGAACATTGCCTTGTAAGTGGTGGTTTCCTGAGATTTTGGTGGAAACCGCCATATTTCAACTGGTTGCAACATGTATCTTTTTTTTGGAGCCCTGTTGAAACAGTCGGGTTTTGGCCCAGATTTGGACTTCAAACCCATGGCCTCTTGCTCGCTGATTCGAGCATCGCCCGGCTGATCACACACCGACATGGCCTGCCAGTGGGGAGTCCAACTGGGCCCGTTTTCAGATCCCCTAAAAGCTTAACCTCACTTTTCGTGGGTTAAATTCGGAAACTACCACTGAACACTAAGATAAAAGGCTGAGGAGATGGCTGGCCAAGATGGCTGGGAGCCACCAAGCAAAGAGAACCCCCCCTTTCTCCAGGAAAAGGAAGACAAGGGCACGGGAGGTTTGCAAACATCCACCCTGCACCAAGGTTTTTGCCTTTGCACCAGGGTTTACCTTTTGCGGCATGTGGCTGTGGGTCAAAATCCTGTACCCCCAGTGAACATCCCAATCCCCACTGTAGGTTCTAAATTGGGTGAATTCGCCAATCCCAACCAGAATGGGATCCCATTGGTTTTGACCACAGCCCTATTTCTAGGGATACCTTCCATATCCATTCTTTCCAATCCGAATCTTTCTAGAAAACCTCGGGTTAAACCCAGAAAAACGGCCTATGGAGCCACAGCCCTGTGGAGTAAAAGCATCTTTCGGGGAAGCATCAGCTTTGCCAAAGGGCCGCTCGCGTTTCAGGCGAGCGCCTTCTTGGAGAGCATCAGCTCAGGCTTGCGGCAGGCCAGCTCGTAGTAGACCAAGGCCCGGTTCCTCTCAAGCCGGGTGCCGATCGGGTCTCTCTTCACGTGGATTTCCGGATTTCCCTGCAACCAGTGCCCCGTTCCATATTTAAACAAATAATTCTGTTTGAGCAGAAGGGGGCACTTCTTTTTGTCTGATTTCATGTCACCCAGACAAAAAGGGTAAGGGTGGAGCCCCGCTGAACAACTAACAGGTTTCAGTATAGCTCTGCAACTGTAACAGCTAGCCTCAGCAACGGGGGCTGCATTTTTCTGGGCTTCAAGAAATCACTGGAGTGCAAGCTGGAGCTTCCCAAGTCATTGGGCTGAACATCCGATTCAATCCCCACTGTAGGTTCTAAAATGGGTGACTTCACCTACCCCATTCAAAATGGGCTCCCAAAACGGTTTCGACCACAGCCAAATGAAACCATCTGGAGGTTTCTCAAACTGCGCACCCCCGATTTTTGACCTATGATGTCTTTTTAGGGGCCCAATTTGGTACACGTGGACCGCCTTTTAGCCACGGCCGAAGCCAGCGCCGCGTCCTGGGCTGGCCATAGCCCGGGAAGCCCTGCAGCCGCTCCGCGGCCAGGAAGGCCGTGGCCGCCATGAAATCCACGCCGATCTGGTCCTAGCGGTCGAACGCCACCCGCAAGGGATTGAACACCGAGTCGTCCAGTGGTTGATCACTCGGGGGCTTTACCCCACTTCTGTGATAGCTTCGGGAATCTCCCCCGAAGCTAAAGGGGTTAGTGTTTGGGAAGCCCTTCTTGTTGTATCACAGAAGTGGTCATTTCCCACAGCCCTGGAGTCGTCCATTTGGTTAATTGAGACCCCGGGTTCCTTTAAGGGAATCCCCTTCCGGTTCATTCCCAAAACCCCGAACCAGCATTCCCGACTGAGCACCAGAAAGCTTTGAAAAACAACACTCTCGTGGGTTTGTCTTGCTTCCATTTGCTTAAGACCCCTGGAAAAAATGAAAACATATTTTTCCAGTAGTGATAAATTCCTTTTACAACCAGCAAGGGAAAATAAGACATATATATTTCAGCAAATGGAAGGATTTGCTGGAAATCGTGTCGGTTTTGGAGGCTGGGAATTTGTTTGCTCCCCTTTTTTGGTAGGTTTGAAAGGGAAACTAACAAGAACAGGACGAAACTTTGCGCGGGGACCCCTGGAAAAAGGAAACTGCCATTTGTTGGAACTGGTTAACTCGGTTAAAAGAACACCAACCGGCGTAAAAATCGGGAACTAAAGGGGAAGAAAACCGCCGATCAGGTGATCTAGCACCTTCCCCATCTTCAGGGATCCTTCCTTCTAACCCCCCAAACCTATGAAAAGCGGTCTGAAAGAAACGGTTGAGAACGGACATGGACAACCTCCCCGAACCCTGAAATTTCAACTAGGGTAACGTTACAAAGTTGACCAGACTTCGGCCCCCTGCGAAAACGGGCCGAGCCTTTCCCTGGAAAGGTATAAAAGGACCTTTAAAACCCGAAAAGGCCGTGAGAACGAAAAGAACGGCGATGGCCACCGCCGTGATTGTCTCGCAACGAAGCGAACCCTGGCGCCGCGAGTTTCCGGTGCGATGTGGTTTCGCCGCGCCTTCTGCTCGAAGAGCGCCTGCACTTGGCTGATGTAAGCCTCGGAATCGAATTCGGGGGGCTCGGGGACCAACATGCTGGTAGACAAAGGGAACATTTTATGCCGTTGACCATTTTTGAAGACACCATACCAAAGGGAAAAGGGTAAGCCAACAAACAGTGTAGAAGCATGCAGGCAGGGAAGCAAACATCCAACGAACAAACCGGATACTCGCTGACAGTCGGAACCGTCTCGACCTGATACTTTTCCTGGTTTTCAGGTGAGCTTCGTCCAGAAAAGGCCCTACCCAAAACGGGTTGAAGGTTGCCGTCTCAGCAGGTTCATTCCTTTCTCAGTTAACATGTTCGCTGGCCAGTTGACTCACCAACAACCATCAAGCACACTCGGAATTGCTCAAATTGCAGACGTACAAACGACTTCTCCCTGAAAACTGCACCTTGAAACAAAAGGCAGCATCTTTGAGACTCGGACCTACAAATGGGCCCCATGGGCCAAGATTGCAGCAGAAAGCAGCTGAATTGAATCTGGTGTTGTTAACGCAAACCAGCCGCGCGTCTGATTTGATTCTAGGTTGCGCCAGCCTGCGATCACCTGAGCAAGTTGGGGGTTAAACCAAAGTGGTGGTCTTGTGGGTGCTCGAAGATTCATCTATCTCGTGTCCCTGCCCAGGGATAACTTGCGTGTTCTCAGATTCTCAGCAGGTACACTTGTTGAACAACCCCAACGTCCCCTTCATGAAAGAAAGGAGACAGACAACTTAAAAGTACCCCTCCCCACAAGGGAACGCCCCCTCTCAAAGAACGGAAGACTGGAAATCATCAAGGGACACCTCCCTGCCAAAGTAGCA